TCTGTCCTTCCATGTGGAGGCAGTCTTGAGATGTGGAGTAGACTGCTTCGAGACAGCCTGGTGCGTGGACCTCCTACCGCACCCTTTCTCACCTCTCCCTCAAGTTTCAGGGCCTCAGACCTATTTTGCAGAGGCTCCTGGGGAAGTGAGGATGGTCAGGATGGTGTTTGTATACATCGCTGAGTCACGACTCATTTCCACTCCTCCTCTCAAATTGCCTTGCTCTGCTCGGCAATGGCAGGGCAGGGGGTCCACCACTGTCTGGTGAATATCGCCAATGTCTGTCTTGCAGAGAGTTACAAGTCTGTCACCTGCTCACACTCTCTGGTACTCCTTAACCTCTCAGCCTCCTCCTTGAGTGCAGCCACTATACTCATGCAGCTCATCCACCTGCTCAAACCTCACACAGGTGGAGTCCCTGTCCCCCTTCACTGGTAGTAACAGACTCGCTGGAGCCAGAGACTTGTACTGCCACTTCTTCAGGCAGGGACTTTCTGAATCGCCATCATCTTTCTCACCAGACCTTTCTGCCTGGTGGAGACCATTGCAAGATATAGAATCACAGAATTGCTCAGGTTGGAAAAGACCAACCACATACTGTCAGGGAGGCACCCGATAGGTGGCCGTTCTACTAGTGGGCAGAGATACTACACTCTGCTCTCCTGCCCCGCGCAAACTGCCATACCTTGTCGTTTGCTCATCCTGTTCACAGCGCTCCCTAGAGGCAGATTTTAAACACACATGGGGTTGGTCCACCGCTGCTCCTGGCCCCACCCCCTTAGCATCAGATCACAGCAGAGAACAATGTCAGCTGCTCCCTGTCAGGTCTGCCCCTCAAGCAGCTGAGGCAATTCCCTGCTGCTGTGCAGAATGCATCTGCTCCTTGCAGAGTACCATGCCAAAAAGCCCTCTCTTCTCCAGGCTGAACAAGCCAGCTCCCTCAGTCCATTTTCGTAGAGGAGGTGCTCTATCTTTGTGGTCCTCTTCTGGACCCTCTCCAACAGCTGCCTGTCTTTCTTGTATTGGAGGCCCCAGAGCTGGATGCAGTATTCCAGATGGCACCCCACGAAGGCAGAGTAAAGAGGGACCATCACCTCTCTGTCCCTGCTGGCCACCCCTCCTCTGATGGAACCCAGGATAACATTTGCTTTCTGAGCTGCAAGGGCACATTGCTGGCTCATGTTCAGTTTTTCATCCACCAGGACCCCAAGGTCCTTCTCTACAGGGCTACTCCCAAGGAGTGATCCTTCCAGTCTGTATACATATCTGGGGTTACCCTGACCCAAGTGCAAAACCTTGCCCTTTGCTGTGCTGAACCTCACAAGGTTCATATGTGCCCACCTTTTGAATTTGTTGAGGTCCCTCTGGATGTCTTCAATTCCTTCTAATGTGTCTACAGCACTACTCAGCTTGGTGTCAATAAGCAAACTTGCTGAGATGCACTTGAGCCCATTATCGATGTCATTGATGGAGATGTTGAAGAGCACAACAGCACTTTTTCTCTGAATCTGAGCTGATGATTATCTGCTCTTCATTGAAATGCTCTCAGGTGAAAAGGTTCATTGGGATCACCACATTAGAGACTAAAAAAAGCCCTTTAGTCCTTAAGAGTAATGCCTAGCAATCTATAATAGCTACAGCTGTATAACCAAGGAAGTAGAAAAACAATGGACTGAAAAGACATTTTTCATAAATACATACGTTTTCTTGAGACTTCAAAATGTTAACCTACTGCCCTAAGCTAATAGCTTTTGGTAGAATATTTTTCTTGGCAGCTTTTTTACTGTACAACATAAGTATAAATAATAATTAAGAGAAGGAGACATACATGTGACCTAGAACTGAAGCCTTATCTGCCTTTTCCAGAGAACAACGTAGAGACCAGGTAATTAAAGCACTGCATGAAAGAATGGGAAAGGCTTTGGGGAAGGGAACTGGGGAAAGCTTCCTGTGTGCTGCCTTTGATTACAGATGTGAAACTTCAGAAGAAATCTTAGGAAACAGTCTTTCTGGGGTAGCAATAGGAGCCTCAGTTTTACAACACAGATACATCTAGTGCCAACTGACCCTTTGAATGCAATAGGGTATTCTTTGAAGGCTATAGAAACATTCTTCCTCCAGAAGGGAAACATTATCATCATAAAATTAATAGATTTGTCTAGTAAAATGTGACAACTAGTAATCCAGATTCAGAGACAAAGTGTTAGAAGAGATCTTTGTCCTACATGCATCCAGCTTTGTCTTTCAGCTAATCAAAGCTTTTAGATAACAGTCAAACTATAAATTTGATTCCAAGTCCTGAAGGCAACACTACAGGAAAAAAAAAATTATAGCTACAAAAAGAAAGCCCTAATAAAACTGTATTAAGACTGAATTCCAGAAAAACACTGTCAAGATACATAGCCAAAATGAAGAAAGCAATACTTAACCTCATAAAGATAAAAAGAAAAGCGCCATTTCCTTTTCAGACTCTCTGAGCCTTGAGAGACAGAGCCAGTAGCAAATTACATCTTTTGAGTAAAGATTCTAAGCACTCTGGAAACACAGGTCTGAAAATAGTACACGTGGCGATACCCACACCAGGAGCCGGTTCTGTTTCTGGGAAGCTCCTGGCAATACAGCTCTACACATGGATTTTCTTTTTTTATCTGTACTTCCAAAGGTGGTAGTAACACTGTAAGTACTGAGCAACAAAAAAGGAGGACTGAAAAAGCCCTCCATACATCTGATAACAGATCCATCAGCACTGAAATACAAGAACATCACTTCTGCAAGTTCCACTGCCTCCCTCCTAGGGCTGCTGATGATGATCCTGGAATCAGAGGAACTGCATAACCAACAGCCATGAACAGCAGTAGAACTGCAGAATTATTTCTATTCCTCACTTTAAAAACAAAAAAGAGGCAAAGATCTTTTGACACTAGCTGTGTCAAAAGCTATTGGGTATGTTCTAGTGTTCAAGAGCACTTTTTGCACACTTTTCTTCTGATACCAGTTGTCAGAAGCAGCTTCCCACCCTATTGGGCCTGCCCTAAAGATTCAGCAGGCTTTGACTAAGAGCTAACTCAGAGCAGCAACAGGCAATCAACAAGAGAAATTTCTAACAAAGCTGTGGAGTTTTAGTGGTCTTACTGCTCTGCATATCAAAAATTAAATTACTGCTAACAGAGGCTGTACACACTTAAAACCTTCTGCTCCTTATGAACAAAGTATGTTTTCGTATACCTACGAGATGCAGGTGCAGGTGAAAAATATGTGAACGGTGACTTTTATATACTGAAGTCAGAAATAAAAGATGTTTTATTACAAATGATTTTATGAATTGCCTAGACAGAAAGAACATATGGATTTTACAAGTCTTAGAAAATTAATTCTTTTATGAGGCTACAATGACAATTCCATTTTTACAGAAGCAAATGATAGCTAGTGCAGCTGGATTTTTGCACACTGTTGATTGAGAAGTTATAACACCAGGACAACTGTACAGAGTTTCCCAGTACTCACTTCTGTGTAAGGCTAGATCTGTTGTGCCAAGTAAGCTCGTTTTCTCGGAACAACAGCAATCCCCCAAAACATGGCAGCAAGTATAGTGGATCTGAAGCCTGACTTCATGAAAAAAAATATTCAGCCACAGCAGGTCTGCAAGTACTTTTCAGAGAAAAGAACTACCCTGCTTTGCTTTCCAACTAAGAAGTAATATGAAGGATCACAAGAAGAGGAAAAAAAACATTCTACTTGTCTTTCATTTCTCACACTGCAGTACCATAGACTTAAACTACAGCTCACATCCTCGATGAAATTAAAGCACTACAGCCTTTCTGTCACAACACTACATAGAAAATGTGAGGCAATAGTTGTCTCATTTGAAGAATTTGTTTTATATTTTCATAGAATTAGCACAACAGATTGGACAACTTTGGATTTTGCTTCCTGAATTCTTTTCTGGCTAGACAGACTAGAATTCTTTACTACATAAAAGTAGAAAAAGAAGGGTGGAAAGCTAAAGTAACACTTGGAATGAAACAGTACTTTATTTCCTGTTGACAAATTTCCTTGTATTAACACCTGACCTTACCAAAGGAGCTCAAATGACAAGGCTACCCAAACAGTACATTCACTTGTATCCTGCAAGAGATGATTATGTAAATTATGTTTAGTTCACTAACAATGAGATTCTGATGTAGTCTCACATTTTGATGTTCCTCTCACCTTATGATCTGAAACAACCTGAGATTCAGCAATACTCATCATTAGGTTGAACTTGCTAGAAACAAACTACTGCTATGTCCTCAAATTTGGTTTAAACAATAACAAAGCCTAACTCTACAAATTCTTCCAAATGTATCAAGCTGTCTTATCTGAAACCTTGGAAATGAGGTTTCAGAGAAACTCGTTTTTATTCACAACTGTACACTTTTTCCCTGATGACATTTCAACATCCTGATCTCTTTTCTTACCTTTTCTTCTTTAAAGACATTATTCAGTCTCACTAATTATTTTCCAATTTAAGCATGATTAAGCAAACAGCATACAAGCATTTGAATAAAACCACTTCAACTTAATACAGGTAACATTCTAGTGCCTTCTCAAAAGCGCCAAAAGAAAATTGCAGTAAGCTTTAACATTTGAAAAATAAAGCTGTGGGAAAGGTGGATAGCTCCATCATGTGGATGTATAGTAGAGAAATGTCTATATTAAAGGAAGGTCTGAACCAAGAAATGTATCAACTACTACATTGTTAAATCGCTGCAACAAAAACTTACATGAATGCCAGTTAAATAGCAGAAGCCTGAGATTCTTCTATGGAATTTAGCAAGTCAGAGCACATTAAAGGCACACTGAATGAAAATGCTCATGCAAATCCCAGGTAACATCATTAATCCGATCTCAGACATGATCAGAGCTGAACACAAAATAATGCTGAAGCATATAAATGCAACCATTTTGGCATATCATTTATGTTTACAGTTTCTTAATTGAGATAACTAGAGTGCACAGACCTCTGTTAGAGCCTTCAGCTGGGATTTGTATTCGCTTACTTCTTCTGTTAACGTCTCCTTTTTCATCTGTAGATCACCCAGCTCTTTTCTTAAGGAATGGACCACTTCATAGAATCGAATCTAAAAGAACAAGATACATATTCAAAACAAAGACTGGCAAAAATACACATTTCTTTTCAACTAAGGCAGTCTCAGTAAGGCTGCTTACTAAAGGCTACAGGTCCTAGGTGACCACGAGGTCCCAAACTCCATTTGCGGCAACTTTAGAGCCTCTTTGACTAGCAATATACCAACTTAACTTCTAACCTCCCTGAACCAAGCTATGTTTTTGTGGGGTGTGAAGCAAAGAAGAGAGATTAGTTTTGCTTTCTGACAGCTCAGTGTGCTAAGTCTGCTCCCTCTACATCGAAGAAAAAGAAAGAGCAAGTGTAGAAGTGGGCACAGCAAACATCCAGGAAAAAAAGAGCACCCCACACACAATTTCAACACAGCAGGTTGCTCCATGGGTTCAGCTGCATTACAGAACTATGCTACTAGTATGTTTGGGTTTTGTGACATGCATTCTAACTGAATCAACTGAAAAGCTTTGGTTTCAGCTCCTGTAGAACTACATCTTATCTGAACAAAAGTCTTTTGAAAGTGTTTTCTAAAAACCTGTCCCACACATTCCTTCCTTCACCAGTCATAGGCACAGTCCCATATAAAAAAAGAAAATCTCACAGCTATAAAACTTTCCCAAAATGCTTTTACTGAACAAGAACAAATACTAGAAAACAGAGTAATAAAAACAAAGGATAAAACAATGAAGAGAGTAGAGAGCTTTTATGACAGTACGCCCTTGCTCCCACTGTAACCTCCACATTAACTCAATACTTAAAAGCATTTCTTCTGGGGGGTGAATAGAACATCAAGCATTATTTTCATGCAAAAATTACTGCATTGCTCCTCCCCTCCCATCCCTTGACATTTTGTTTTACATATAATTAAAGAAGAAAAACAAGTGAAAACACATAGATAAATAAAGTGTTCCAGAACAAGCAAATGCTTCCATGCGGGAAGGCAGATCTCTGTTTTGCTGCAAATAAGAGACAATGAGAAGCATCGAAGGCATTCTCAATTTGATACGCCTAAGTTTACTTACAGCTTTAATTTTGTTCATGTTATAAGTAATAGGTTTTTAAAATTACAGTCTAATTTGACTCAAAAAATGGTATTGTAACTTTTTCTTCATATTCTGTAAATTCCAAATGGCAACTACAAATTTTACTTTCACTTACAAGTGAACTAACTGAAGTTATTTTACCGCTGTACCATTATCTTATTTTACAGTTTCATTACTGTTTGATTTTTGGAGTAATCTAGCCCCATAATGTTTATGGAGTTTTTCTCATGTAAAAGTGAAATCACATTGTGTTGACATGAAACTGAACAGAAGAATTAGTTTTATGTCTTCTTTCTAACTTCTGACCTCTGACAGGCTTCAACTATTTCCTTGAAGAAAATGCTTTAGAAATCCGCATGCAGTGCTGTCCTCAAAGTCTTAACTACAGCTTCCACTGATTACAGCTTCCACCTGTCTGGATTATTTCAGAATTAGCCTGATGACAACTGAAGCTGAGAACTGAATTTCAATCAAATCCTTCCCCCTCCAAAATTATTCTTCTTGAAAAGTAAGCTTTGTTGTCACCAACTGGTAACCATTTGACATTTGAAGTAGAATCACAGTATCATAGAATTGCTCAGGTTGGAAAAGACCTTAAAGATCATCAAATCCAACCACAACCTAACCATACTACCCTAACTCTAACAACCCTCTGCTAAAGCATGTGCCTGAGTACCACATCCAAATGGCTTTCAAACACATCCAGGGATGGTGACTCAACCACCTCCCTGGGGAGCCTATTCCAGTGCTTCACAACCCTTTCTGTAAAGAAGTGTTTCCTGATATCCAACCTAAAGTTACCCTGGCACAACTTGAAGCCATTTCCCCCCATCCTGTCGCCTGTCACCAGTGAGAAGACCAACCCCGCTCTCGCTGTAAGCAGTTTTCAGACATCAGACAGAACAATAAGGTCTCCCCTCAGCCCCTTTTCGCCAGACTGAACAGCCCCAAGTTCCTTCAGTTGCTCCTCGTAGGACATATTCTCCAAGCCCTTCACCAGCCTTGTTGCCGTTCTTTGGACCTGCCCCAGCACCTCAGTGTCTGGCTGGGCTAGAAACAGCAGGGTACCAAAGAAGGGAAAATTAGCTTCTGTTAAATGAAATTATCTGAAAACAGCTGCTTCAGTTAAGAGCATTCTTAAAGAAGAGAGCACGTCAGCTGCAGAGGCAGTAATTAAGCAAATGAAAGACACTGGGAAAAAAAAAAAATCAAATATTTTTAACAACTGTTTTCCCTTCAGGATTCAGAAGAAAAAAATAGCATTTACCTATCTTTCTAGCTCATTTTGAACAACTTATTAAACTGAAGAACTGATACATACCCACAGACTTATTTAAACAAACAAAAAGGCAGCTGAATTTATTTCTGCAGGTGTGTGCATAAGATGCTCACAATTTTACACACCACATTTCATGGTTCAGCTGCCAAACAAAGCATCAGTTCAGTGGCCTGAAGTACTTCCCATGTTTTTCATATACTGTTTCTTAAAAATCACTCCGGTAGGTGATAAAAAAATACCCTTAAAACTTTTTACATACAATCTCACTTTTCACGTCCACATAAATCAAAGTTTTTACAAGTTCTTAACAAAGAAGCAACACTTCTTAAGAGAAAGATGCTTAAATCAACATTTTCATTTTGTCATCATAACTCAGAATAAACACTGCTCAGTCTTTCCTTTAGCATGTCACTATTGCACCCCTTTGTGGAAGAAAAGAGAAATACACATCACATTCGTTTCAATTCCAGTCAAAAATTCAAAAGACGATCTATACATTAAAAACCTGTACTCCCCTAGTTTGTCCAGTGTACTTGGTTTCATGTGAATACAGATACTATATATAAATTTGTTTGCATGGTGATGAATTATTTGGCAGTATTTTAATGCTGATAAATAAAGAAAAAAAAAAAAAAAAGGCTTTCAATCTGGAACTTTCTTGCTCAAATTTTCTGTAAGCAGATCTTTTTCTCACCAAGAGAAGTTTACCCTAACATAAACTGCTATCTGCCTATGCATAGACCTGCCTACGCATAGACCTGCAACCTGAAATTCTATCTGTCTGGTGGTAGGTAGTTGATCTCATAGGTCTTCTCCAAACTTGGTGATTCCACGATTTTATAAGCACATCATTCCTCCTTAGGTAAGCAAAGATAAAAACACCTTCCCCTCAGCATCCTTTCCTAAACTTCAGAAGTCAATTAGATGCATAGACAGGACATGTAAAACAGCTTTGTAGCCTCCCAGTGTCTGGATCTGTTAAGCAACTCCAAGAAAGCTCAGTGATCGCTTATTCTTAAGTAGCATAGTCAAGTTCACGCTTGATTCCATTAAAGTTGGGAGAAGAAGCAGAAAGCAGCATCTTACCACAGTGTATATTTAGAACGTTTTCTTCTGGGGAGGGGAGCAGAGCAGCGTTGGGAGGGGATAAAAACCAGGAGTTCTTCAAAAGAGCAAACTGACATACGTATAAGGAGGAAACAGGATTCAGCAGAATTGTATTTGGTCACAGACAAAGTAGCTGGGTGAATGTCCAAGACAAAGAAAGATAGATTGGGATAGAAGAGTGTTACTGACCACTGTCATTTCATGTATTTGAGAACCCTTTCCTACTCACTAATACAATCTAAGCACATTGATTATATTGTGACAGCTTCGCTTACAGCAGCTGGCAAGTTATCAGCTCCTGGATTCTATCATGCTCACCTGCACAGCCTTTCAAACTGTCAGTCAACTTCTGAAGTACTGGACTTTTCTGCACACTGACTTTAAGCAAGTTGACAAGGAACTGAGTTTGTGTTTAAAATCTCCTTTGTTGACCATGGCAACACAGAACTCAACAACAACAGACTACTTCCAGATAGTTATATTGAAGGCTAAAGGGGAAATAGACAGGTGGTAGTAACCTAGTGGGCCTCGACCTCATCATTTTTGCTTTATCACTTGGAGCCTTGAAGTTTTCCTAGCACTTTCAAAAGTATAAATTTTAGAACTTCTGAAAAAGGATGCTCCCAAGAATGTCTCCCTTCTGCTGACAGGGATAGGTTTTACTTCACTGTACTTACCTATTACTATGGCTTCCATCTAGCAACAGGGTCACTCATACAATATTTATACATCAACTAATGCACTAAGCTTCTTAGAATTATCATAATTACAGCTTCCTTAATAACAACCACTATAGATAAGTACAGTGCTAACACTTTGGTGAAACAAGGTTTACATGCCTAAACCCACTGCATTCTCAGAAGCTAACCAGGATGCTCTGGACGTGTCAAAAATCTATGAAAGCATTGTACTTTCAATGCAAGCTGAGTACCACCATGGACTCTGTATCGACTCATGAGCCAGAATTAACAAAATTTTTGAAATCAAGAAAGCAATAATGAAAGTGTAATTTAAGCTACAATTTGTTTTCTGGAAAGGGCCAGTTGGAAAGCATAACAAAAAAGCAAGAGATGCTTTAAGAGCTTGTTCTGGCAGGCTGAGTTCCAAATTCCAGCCTTCAGCCTGTTGTATTCCAGATCATCAGTGTGTCATTTCCCACCATTTAATTGAACCACCTTATTTGTTTCACCTCCATAAAATGAATAAGCCTTTCTATTTAAGATGTCATTAAAAGGTTATCTTCTTTACTCAAATCCAATTAGAATGGATGGATCCAGAAGCATGTCATAGAATCATAGAATTGCTCAGGTTGGAAAAGACCTTAAAGATCATCAAATCCAACCACAACCTAACCATACTACCCTAACTCTAACAACCCTCTGCTAAATCATGTCCCTGAGCACCACATCCAAATGGTTTCTAAACACATCCAGGGATGGTGACTCAACCACCTCCCTGGGGAGCCTATTCCAGTGCTTCGCAACCCTTTCTGTAAAGAAATGTTTCCTGATATCCAACCTAAACTTACCCTGGCACAACTTGAGGCCATTTCCCCTCATTCTGTCACCTGTCACCAGTGAGAAGAGACCAACCCCGCTCTCGCTGTAAGCAGTTTTCAGACATCAGAAGAGAGCAATAAGGTCTCCCCTCAGCCTCCTTTTCCCCAGACTAAACATCCCCAGTTCCTTCAGTTGCTCCTCGTAGGGCATATTCTCCAAGCCCTTCACCAGCCTTGCTCCCCTCCTTTGGACCTGCTCCAGCACCTCAATGTCGTTTCTGTACTGACTTCCCTAGTCCTGCTCACTGTACCATTCCTGATACAAGCCAGAATAACACATCTGCACAGAAGTCTCTCCTTTCTATTTGGGAAGAATAAGAACAGACAAATAGTCTGGCTTCTGCTATATGTAGGTCCCCTAGATTTTAAATAGAAGAAATTTATAACTTGGACTGGGTTGAACCTAGCCTACAGTCCTATTTCTATTTAACTGCTCACTGCTCCCAGCTGAAGCAGGACAGAGGAAGAACAGGAAGACCAAAAGCAAGAGAACTCGGATCAAGTTTTCTCAACTGTTTAAGAAAAGATGGTGGGAGGGGAATTTAAAAGGAAAAAAAGCAATGCTGAGACAGTCACTCATCACCTCCCAGAAGCAGACGCATAACTGGTCAGTCTGAGTGACAGCCACCTTGGAAGGTACCATCCCCCACCTTCTTCCTCTGCCTCCAGTTCCTCCAGTTTGTATTGCTGAGCATGGCGCTATGTATATCCCTTTAACCAATACAGGTCAGCTCTCCCAGCTGTGTCCCCTTTCAACCTCAGGCCAACCCCTGACTTTTCTAGAGCCAAAGCAGCAGAAAGACAAAGCCTCAACAACTTGCAATTTTCAGCAACAGCCAAAGCCTTGGTGTGTTTCATCACTGTTTAGCCACAAAACCAAAACACAGGAAGATATAAGGCTATCATGAAGAAAGTTAATTCCAACCCAATCTGACCTTCCACATCGCTGTATTTTAAGTCAATGTAGGACACAATACTCACAGAAACATATTCTGGGATAGAAAGCTGATCCTCTGGCAGAGACTTCAGCTTCTCGTAGCCATCCTCTGTTAATTCCAAGTCACGCAAACTACGACGAATATCTCCAGCCCTCTCCCTTAACTGATGATTTGTTTCCTCGAGTTGCTTTTGTCTTAATAAAATAGTTTCCATTTCTTGTTTCATTAGCGCCTGATGTTTTCTTTAAGATTGATTTGAAAACAGAAGACATGAAGTAGTGAGTAACACGAGTGACAAACGCTTACAATACACTGGCTAGGGAGTAAGTTATGGTCATGTCATAGAGAGAAAAATGTAGAGTGAGATTAGGTATACTGTGTATATATGTTAAAACATGTCTGTGTACATGTATCCATACACACACACACATGTGAAACCAGGAGCTTCATAGCTTGATACACTGTTCAGCAAAATTACACTGATAACAGCCCAAAGGCACTGACACCAGCAGTCTGTTCTGAGAAGTGACAATCTCAGCACGTGATGATTTTAATTCCTCTTAGTCTTAATTTGGCAATTTAAAAAGTTAAAAATATGAGAAAATAGTATTTACTTCCACATAAAATCCAAGAAATCCATGGTAAATAACCAAATAAAGCCATATTAACTTCAATGTGCATCTCGCTGACCTTCAGAATACACACAGTATGGTCTATTTCACACACATCCCTTTGTTTTCCACCCCATGTAACATCCAAAGTTGGGGTCCTTTAAAAAAATTTAGCAAGTAACTTAAGCAAGAAACTTTGAAAGTAAAAAAAAAAAAAACAAAAACCTGTTAGTATTACAAGACTTTTTTTTTCTCCCCTTAAGAAAACTACACATCAACCAAGCAGTCACAGAAAGACAGTTTCTGTATATAGTGTACAATTCTATTAAATGAAGATGTCAGGTAATAGGCAGCAATGAGACGAAAAAATGAGGAAAGCAGTTCCACCTTTTTGTGTCCATTAAGATTAATTTGCACATTAGCACTTTTTTACTGAGCACTCCTCACCAATTCACATATGGGCAAACAAAGATATTCCAACCTTGTGCAAACAGGCACACAGAGACATTGCTCTGCTAATGAGTTGGTTGGTTAGTTACTTTACTATAACTAATCCCAGGTCTAGCTTTACGGCATTAAACCTGTACCAAACTTATTAAAGAAGATGGCTTTGAATTAGTCACAAACTCTAAGCTGGTGTATTCTGTAACTTGATACAGCTAAGTAATGTTATACTTTAACAGACCTATCACAGGTGTTAAAACCTTTAATTGACAAAGAAATTTGGGAAAGCCCGCTAGCCAGTCTATCTTCAGCTATATATGAATTCAAAAGTTGCTGAAAAGCAAGGAGAAAGGTAAGTTTTTACTTCATCAAAAGAAAGTCATTCTGGAAAAGCATTTCTGACCAACTAGCAATTCTCACTGAAAGTGTGAACATTATTTTCCCAAGTTATCCAGGCTGTGGTTCATAAACATTCAAGTTCAAAGATGCAAAATCTGTCCCCTCTTCTTTCTCCTTCCATTCCTTTCTAGTTTTTAAAATGTCTCTTATCCATCTATGATCTAGTCTCCATCATCTAGTGACTCTTCTGGTAGATGAGGAAAAGTAGTATACCTAGACTTTAGCAAAGCCTTTGACACTGTCTCCCACAGTATTCTCCTGCAGAAGCTGACAGCCTGTGGCTTGGACAGGTATGCTCTGGGCTGGATAAGGAACTGGCTACAACACTGGGCCCAGAGAGTGGTAGTGAATAGAGTTAAACCCAGATAGCGACCGGTCACAAGTGGCGTTCCCCAGGGGCCAGTGCTGGGGTCTGTCCTCTTCAATATCTTTATTGATGACCTGGATGAGGGCATTGAGTACATGCTCAGTAAGTTTGCAGATGACACCAAGTTGGCTGGAAGTATCCATCTGCCTGGGGTACTGAGGCCCTACAGAGGGATCTGGACAAGCTTGATAGCTGGGCTGAAGCCAATGGGATGAGGTTCAACAAGGCAAAATGATGGGTCCTGCTCTTTGGCCACAACAACCCCAAGCAATGCTACAGCCTTGGGGGGGTGTGGCTGGAAGACTGCGTAGAGGAAATGGACCTGGGGGTATTGATTGATGCTTGGCTGAAGATGAGCCAGCAGTGTGCCCAGGTGGCCAAGAAGGCGAATGGCATCCTGGCTTGCATCAGAAATAGCATGGCTAGCAGGAACAGACAAGTAATTGTCCCCCAGTACTCAGCACTGGTGAGGCCGCACTTTGAGTACTGTGTTCAGTTTTAGGCCCCTCACTGCAAGAAAGACATTGAGGCCCTGGAGCATGTTCAGAGAAGGGCTCGTGAGGGTCTGGAGTACAGGCCTCATGAGGAGCAGCTGAAGGAGCTGGGATTGTTCGGTCTGGAGAAGAGGAGGCTCAGGGGAGACCTTATTGCTCCCTATAACTCCCTGAAGCAAGGCTGCAGTGAGCTGGGGGTCGGCCTCTTTTCTCATGTAACTAGTGGTAGAACTAGAAGGAATGGCTTCAAGCTGCGCCAGGGGAGATTCAGACTGGATGTTAGGAAATACTACTTTTCTGAAAGAGTGGTCTGGCAGTGGAATGGGCTGCCCAGGGAGGTGGTGGAGTCACCAACTTTGTGTTGAGGGACATGTCTTAGTGAGAACTATTGGTGATAGGTGGATGGTTGGACTGGATGATCTTGTAAGTCTTTTCCAACCTTGATGATTCTGTGACTCTGTGATCTTTGTACTCTCAGTTTCAGGAAGGAAGAGCTCAACTCAAATTTACTTTAGAATGGAAATTTTAGTACAATCTGCCGAAGAAATCCCATTTCTGTATCTCATGTTCATCATTTTTCATTAACATGAATAAACCGGAATTCACATTGATAAATTACTAAAGATGAAGTTTTTTGTGTTACTTGTCATACCTAGCATCTTCTTGCTGCAATGCCAGCTGGGTATCCAGTCGTAAAGACAACAGCTGCTTCTGATGGATTGCATCATTCAGCTTCTCTTCTAGCTCTTCAATCTAAAAAGTATAAATATAAAATGAAGACAAGTTACCTTGTTCTTTGTAGAATATATATTTTTTAAAATCACAAGCAGAGAATGCAATGCCCTAGAAAGTACAGTAACTGAAGATCTCTACAATAACAAATCTATAAATACACTAAAGCTTTGCAAAATAAGATATGGAGTTTGCCCTAAAAAACTCAAAATTAAAAAAAAAAAAAATAGTTTTAGAACTCATGTATTTTGATCACATAGGTACTTGTTCAACTGATTTCAAGCTATCCTTAAACTCTGGCCAGCAAGCCAAGGAAAGCCACAGCTATATGGAAGGTTGTAAACATGAACCTCACACAAGCAGGGCAAAGTTTTTACACCTTTCAAAATCCCATGCATCTTTACTGAAACCATATACAACAACAAATCTTCCTACTATTAATTAGTATGCCAGTATATTTTAGTCACACCTTTGCTATCAAATCAAGGAATGGTACTGATGAGTTTTGCCCGCTTTCACTAACTTCTGGTTAAAAGCCCTGTTAAGTTGCTTGCATCAGTAATTAATTATTTTTTCTTTCTGAAAAGAAAAAACACATTTTTCCTTTGTTTTTGGAAATGCAAAAACTAAAGAAAACCAGTTTGATCTGGGCAGCCGGGTCTAGTGACCACAGCAGGAGGGTTGCAACTACTGGATCTTTGAGGTCCTTTTCAACCCAGGCCACTCTATAACTCTATGATCCCACCTCATCCATTCCTAAGAATGAGACAGCAGCCAAGTCATTTAAATCCTCCATATCCCTCTTTCCCTCCTTTTGTGATTTAAAACCAATACCAATAAAAGAATCATAGAATGGACTGGGTTGGAGAGGAAATCAAAGACCACTAATTTCCAACCCCTGCTGCGGGCAGGGCTGCCCCCCACTAGCTCAGGCTGCCCAGGACCCATCCAAGCTGGCCTTGAGCACCTCCAGGGATGGGGCACCCGCAGCTTCTCAAGAAGCAGTTGATGAGGATTCCAGCACACAACCCACGGACATTCTTTTGAGAACTCAAGCTTCCCCTTGAAAGCACCAGAAACAGAATTGCACGATGAAAGACACGTAACAGCTCTCACCTTGGTCAAGTATTCCACTTTCAGGTTGTCGATCATGAGGTTTTTCTGCGACAGCTCTATCTTCAGCAGCTGCAGGCCGTGCAGCAGCTCCTTGCGCTCCAGCAGCTGCCTGGTGACCCGGGCCGCGCCCTCCCGCTCCTCGGAGGAGGACAGCTCGTCGGTGGGGACGGTGGTTTCCAAGCTGATGTCCTCCGACTCCAGGGAGCTGGAGACGTTCACCTTCCGGCCTTCCCTGGAGCTTTTACGGGACATTTTCTTACGCCGTTTGCTTCTTTAAGTTACAAGCCAACGGCGCAAAACAAGACCACGAAGCCGTTACGCCGCGATGGAAACTAACCAAACGAAACGGCTAAGCGCAACTCCTCACGTATCGTTCCCCTCCGCTGAAGGAAAACGCTCACGGAAGGTCTGAAGAGGGCGGATTCCTGAGGACTCCTTCCCCAGAGCCGCCCCCGCAGCGGTTCGGGCCGCAGGAAGCGGTAACGAGGCGCCGCGCTGCCCGCTGGAAGCGCACCCGGGCGGCGGGCGACCGACCGTTAACGGCCGGCGGGGGAAAAGCGCAGCCCCGCGCCCGCCCGGACACGGGGAGAAGCCTCAGCCGGCGGCGCACGCGCAGATGAGGCGGGGCCGCGCGACGCCATCACCACGGCGACCCGGCGGCCGCGCCGCTTCCCGCCGCGCGCCGCGGGGGACGCTGGGAAGAGGCCGCGCCGGCGCCATGCTGACCTCGCGGACCTTCCTGAAGCGGACGCGGGCGGGTGCTGTGGTGAAGGTGGTGCGGGAGCATTACCTGCGCGACGATATCCCCTGCGGCGCCGACGCCTGCCCGCTCTGCCCGGTCCGGCCCGACCAGCCCCTCGGGCTCGAGGCGCGGCCTAGCGGCGCCGCCAGCGGCCTGTGCCCCGGGCCGCACTACCTGCTGCCCGACACCAACCTCCTCCTGCACCAGGTGAGCGCCTCGCGGCCTCGGGTCGGTTCGGTGCGCGCGGGTGGGGACGGCCCTGCGGCTCGGGCTGCCCTCAGCACCGCGCTGGGCCTTCCCCTGTTGTCCGCCTGATCCCAAGGCTGCGATTTGTCTGCCTGCCGCCGCAGTGAGGAGCTTTCAGTGTCGCCCAGTCCGGCCTGGTTTCGGCCGTTGGGCCCGCGTGCGGTTCCACAGGTGTGGGATGAACTCTTTGTAGTCCGTCAGCAGCACAAAGTGCGAGGTGGAAGGATTGAGAGCAACCCTACCGAGAGGGACCTGTGTGCCGTGGTGAAGGGCAAGCTGGACATGAGCCAGCAACGTGCCCTTGCCCCTCCGAAATCCAACTGTATCCTGGGCTGTATCAAAAGGAGTGTGGCCAGCAGGTCGAGGAGGGTGATCCTGCCCCGCTGCTCTGTGCTGGTGAGGCCTCACCTGGACTACTGCGTCCAGATGTGGAGTCCTCAGAACAGGAGAGACGTAAACCTGTTGGATTGTGTCCAGAGGAGGGCCACAGAAATGATCCGAGGGATGGAACGCCTTCCCTGTGAGGACAGGCTGAGAGAGCTGGGGCTGTTCAGCGTGGAGAAGGGAAAGCTGCGAGGTGACTGATAGCGGCCTCTCAGTGTCTGAAAGGGAGCTACAGGAAAGAATGGGACAGGCTCTTTAGCAGGGCCTGTGATGATAGGACAAGGGGAAATGGTTTCAAGCTTAAAGAGGGTAGATTTAAGTTGGATATAAGGAGATCTTTCACAGTGAGGGTGGTGATGCAGTGGAAAGATTACCTAGTGATGTGTGTGGTTGATGCCCCGTCCCTGGAGACTTACACAGCAAGGCTGAATCAAGCCCTGGACAACCTGATCTAGCTGCACATGTCCCTGTTCATTGCAGGGCAGTTGGACTAGATGGCCCTCAGAAGTACCTTCCAACTCTAAGGATTTTATGATTCTAATTGCATGAAGGCTTGATGTGCAGACAGAGCAGCAGCAGGCTGGAGGCAAGGAGCTCCTAAGCTGAATTCTGAGGGTTTTTTTGATTACTGTTGAATGCCTCCGTAGGACATGCAATAGCCTGGTGCAAATGTTCGAGACTGGGAGAAGTAGAACAAGACATGACAGCCTTAAGTTGCAGCAGAGCAGGTTCAGGTTGATTGTGTGTTGTGCTGAGGGGCATGAGTAAGTGTGCACAGTGGTCGTGGGTCGATGGTTGGATTAGATGATGATAGGAGTCTTTTCCAACTATAATGATTCTGTAACCCCGAGTAATTCATGAAGGCTGTTGTCTGTTACTCAGGAGAAAGGCATAGTGCTCTGGCATTTTAGCAGTTATTGAACGCTCTGAGAATTTGCCACTCTCTGGCAAATGGTAAGAACCAGAGTGGTGGGGATGTGGTGGTTGTGGTGACAGCAGGAACAGTTTTTTATCCAGCTACAAGGCTGCAAGAGAAAGATTGAGCCTGGTAATTTAGCCTGGATTTAAATTTGGTTGGAGTCCTGCAAATAATTGGGTTGCATTTGGTGGGAGTCAGCATGAGAGAGATGATCACTTTTTCACTTAGCAAAACTGAGGTCACCAAGAGTTTGGAAAATCCAATCTAAACTTCTTGCCTGTGCGAGAAAGGTGCAACTTAAGATACTAGTCAGATTTCCAGCAGTGAGAGAAGAAAAGGTCCTAATAGTGCATCGTTATTGATAGAAGTTTTTGCATATTAAAGAAGCAAATATTTCAATTGCTGTTACTGGGTAGAAAAAACCACAATTCTGATGCATTTCCATTTTGTTCCTCAGATTGATATTCTTGAAGACCCTGTTATTAAGAATGTCATTGTGCTACAGACAGTTTTACAAGAGGTCAGGAGTCGGAGTGCACCAGTATACAAACGAATCAGAGACGTGATTGGAAACCCTGAAAAACACTTCTATTCCTTCACCAATGAACATCATCGGTATGGTTTGGAATAGGGTATAACGTTGTACTGAAGTCTGGTAAAAGAACTGGTACGTGTGAATTAGGCAGGTAAAATGAGACTGATGTGCACGACGCCTTATATATCTAAGAAGTCCGGCTGAGGAATAATTGGATGTTACAGGAGCTTTCTCACAGTTGGTATTAGCAGACGTATCTTCTGAAAAGGTGATTAAAATACTAAATGAACATGTCAGGCAAGACCTTTAACCTGAGCAATGGAATCATGGTTATGCATTTTACACGTTACTACTCCCAGTTCAATCTGTAGAACTCAAAAATCAGTTAGTAGCAAAAAAAATGGAGATGCAGTTAATTTGCCTTTATGTAGTTTCTGCTACAGCAGCATCAAGGCTCTAGCAGTGCTTGTCTTGAATGCCATTCTGTTCAATCCTCAGTGGGACCTGTGTAAGAAATTGCCACTTCGTTATTAGTTTTTTTGATCCTGTCTCCTAAGCCTTCAGTGGTCTTTAGTGTTACACGTTTTAAAAATTGGTTCAGCAGTATTTCTTTTGTCCTTACAGTCTTAAATGTTTGTCTGAAAACAATAATAATTGTAACTGGATATATTTTTTTTCTTTTTCAATTTTTTTTAACTGTTAGAGAAACATACATAGAGCAAGAGCAAGGAGAAAGCTCTAATGACCGCAATGACAGAGCTATTCGGGTAGCAGTAAAATGGTACAGTGAACACTTGAAGAAAATACAGAATGAGGAGAATGAGGATATCCAAGTTATCTTTCTTACAAACGACAGAAATAATAAGGAGAAAGCCCTTGAGGAAGGGATAACTGCTTATACGTGTAAGTTCAGTGGCATGAAGATTTAATTTATTGTTCAGGCATAAAATTTCAAGTGTCTTTATACCTAAATTCTCTACCTCTCTTGCATAAATATTTGTGTGTGCTTTTGTAGGTGAGGAGTATATTAAAAGCTTGATAGATAATCCTGATCTTGTAGATCGTCTTGCTTGCGTATCTGATGAAGGGGTATGTCTTTATTCTCTTTCTGTTTATTTATTTATAAAACAATTTTGCAGTCTGTTATTGGATGTCGTATGTCAGGCTACTAGCATCAGTTCAGAAAAAGGACTCTTGTCTTTATTACCATTTTGACAGTAAAACTTTTTGATAACTGAAAAGAATACTGCAGCTGCTTATATGCCTATTGGAAGGTATTGTTTGGTTCTTTGTAAAAAGCCAGTTGCTAAGGTGGGAAGCTTAACAAGTGATTCAAGGAAGTGTATAAGTACTGCAAATAATTGAACTAAAATTAAAACTTCAAAAGTCTGTGTTGCAAACCATCTAGATCTTTGTTTTGTGTCTGTTATTTCAAAGTTTACTCGTCAAAAACATTTTGGATGAAAAGATTTGATTTAGTCATAAGATAAGTTGATAGAATTGTGTGCTGCAGCTCAAAAATGGGTTACTTCATCATTGTGCAGTTATGGTGGAATGGATTGGAAGCTCATCCGGTTCTCCCCCCCCATGCGAGTTAACATAGTTAACTCCATGACAGCAAGGTTGCCATCCACTAGAACAGAATTCCCCATCCAGGCATGCCCCATGAGACTGACAATAGCTGAAAACTAATGCCACTCAAGTAAAGGGAATATTAATTCCATCGGTGATCAGAGGGCTGGAGCACTTCTCCTATGAAGAAAGGTTGAAGGTATTGGGCTTGTTTAGTGTGGAGAAGAGAAGGCTCCAGGGAGACCTCCTTGTGGCCTTCTAGTACTTGAAGGGAACGTATAAACAGGAGGTGGAATGGCTCTTTACAAGGATGGATGGTGATAGGACAAGAGGGAATGGTTTTAAACTGAGACAGCGAGGTTTAGGTTAGATATTAGGAAGAAGTTTTTCACCCAGAGGGTGATGATGCACTGGAACAGGTTGCTCCAGGAGGTTGTGGATGCCCCATCCCTGGAGGCATTCAAGACCAGGCTGGGTGTGGCACTGGGCAGCCTGGTCTAGGTAGATGATCTCTGTGGTTCCGTTCAACTCAGGCCGTTCTATGATTCTGTGATCATAGTTACTCTAATGGATTGGAGTGGGACATGCGAGAGTGGGAGGCTGAGTTGATCTGTTCAGCAGTTATCTGCAGTTCATTTAAGTTCAACTGATTCATATAGCTGCTTACCCTCTATGGTCTGTAGTACTGTCCTAATGTTTTTTCCATGTTTAGTCTATGTTTAGTCAGTACATAAAAGCAAACAAATGTCTACATCACTTGTGTGGTGACCTCTTAAGTCAGCGCAGGCAAGCAGGAAGAGAAACAGAGGTGTTCTCAATGTTGTCACATTTTTATGCATTTTGTGCTTTGTTAGAAAAATTACTGTTTAATACCAGTTTTTCATTCTTGTGCATATTATGTTCCTATACTTAGTTAGAATTTTGGAGTTTGCTAACTTGAGTTTCATGTTCTTGAGATCAGTTTTGGAGTAATTATGAATGTAAAAGACTATTTCTTTTTTTTTTCTTTTTTTCCCCCTTAAAGAAAGAAATAGAAAGTGGCAAAATAATTTTCCCAGAACACGTTCCTCTTAGCAAATTGCAGCAAGGAATAAAATCTGGCATTTACCTCCAAGGAACCTATAGAGCAAGCAGAGATAATTATCTTGAAGCTACTGTTTGGGTTCATGGAGATGCTGAAGAAAACAAAGAGGTGGGTGTTTTAACTTC